ATAAATTTAACAACCGCTAGTTACCCCCAAATTCAAAAGCAATGTGTTCTGTTATCAAATCCTTAAATAGGGGGGAAACCAACCAAAAATTTTGAATTTGCATCTAAGAGGATCAAATATTTTTATAATCTTCTAATGTAACAGATTAAGCTGTCCAGTTTTTTTGTTGATTTATTATTTTACTATACAATTCTGAATTGATTACCAGGCAATTAAAGGGTCTGTGGAAAAAAATGAAACATAGTATTATTGCATCCTTTAATTGGCTATGAAAATGTTTTCTCTGTCTAATTTTCAAATGAAGTTACATAAATACAAACAATTTAAATAAAAATTTTTATGTTCGATCAAGTATCTTAACACAGTGTACACAATATGTTGATTGAATTGTAAAATGCTGGATCTAGTCGGATTTCTATAGGAAATGTAGTATGGCGACATTAACTTTTAACCAGTCAGTATACCTTTAAAGGGGTTGATTTCCATTACCGGTAATATAAAATTTAACTAAACACACAATACGAAATACTTCATATTTTAATATTAAGAAGTTATTCCCCTACAATATAAATTCAATGATGGATTATAAAATTTGTTTCCATCCCTTCTTTTCTTCATCATTTTACGTTTCTTTCCACTCCTTCCCATATCACCCATGGCAACCAAATTACCATACACACATCATTATATTTATTACCTTTTTCGTTATTTTAGTTTTCACATTACTACCCAGTCTCAATTATCCCTGGTTAATTTTGACAAAAAATTGGTTTGGGAACTTAAGGTGATTAATCTTTGGGTTTTCCTGGGCGACATCAGTAATGACAGGTCTAAAGCCCAGAGGAAGGTGTCAGGGGTGCTTTCAATATTGGTTTTACCTTGGGAAAGTGAAAATGCAATGTACAATTTAATTATTGCTGATTTATGGTGTTGGTATACCCTAAGCGAAGGCCTTGTAATATGCATTGAGCGCTTAAAAATTTCAATGTGTATAGTACGGCGACGATTACGATCATCTTCTGTCAGTCCGTGATGAAGATTTAAATGTAGAAACATGTTTAGTGTGTAATTCATGTCATTTGATAGACAAATGGAATGCATCTCCTTACATTACACGTCATTTATTAGAGATAGTGTAATCTGGCTATCTGAATATTCTGTTTATGTTTTAAACTCCATTATCTTGCTTTAGCAGCTTTTACTCTATATCCCCAAACATTTGTAAATGTATGTATGTTAAGTTTATATATTGTCATCATTATTGTTTTCTTTCTTTTTTCCTATCAATCTTTTTTCAACATCCCCTTCCTTTAATATTCAAATGCTTCTCCAATTCCATGTTCGTAGTCTTATTTGAATTTTCATCCAATTATCATCTTCTACAATTTTTTCTACTTATTATATATCTTGTAATTGTCTCCCTCGTTTATCTCGCTACTGTAACTCTCGCGTTTATCTTTCCATCTCGTATATCCTCATTGGCTTTGATGTCAAAAACCTATTCCATTCGGTTTACGATCATTTAGTGTATGTACACGTTTCTTTGAATCTGTCTGTGTTCTTTTTTTAAACTCCCATCATTTAATTTCCCTCTTCATCTTTACCATAATTATATCTTTCTTAATTTATCTCTCGTTTATCTTCGCATCTTCAAATCAAATGCCACTGTTGACCTCGTTCTTAGCCAATTTTTTCCGTTCGTGTTCGCCTTTTCCTCCTCTCTTCCTAATAATCTCCATTATCCCGCTTATCACCTCCATCCGTCATCTTCACCTCGTTATGATCTATGACCCATTTGCGTTCCTCTCATCTACTAATTCTGCTCTCGTTTTTATAAGCTCATGTCTGAACGTCGAAGATAATAGAGACGGTCTATATAAAAGTGGGTCTTCTGCAAAATGTTAAAACTTAGATAAATTTCCAAGTACAAGGGATTTCAATAGAAAATTAGTTGTTTAGTGTTTGTTGTGTCTACCGCCCTCTTGATGACACTAGCATACCACTAGGTAGCTACCCAAAACTAGGTAATCCGGTTACTTCAGACACCTGACAATTACCCCAAAGAGCGCTGCATGCAGTTGACAATGTAAACATGCTGTCATAGATCACATGAAACACCTAGTTAAACATAGTTATATGACATAATTCATATTGTCATCCATGCCATGACACCTTTAAATAGTTCATTCTATAATTCTGAAAACTACAAAAATCACATGAATAGCAGTAGTTGCCCGCCTGGGGAACCTAATTTTTTTTTTTCATAGTTTGTCTTATTTTAATTTTCTATTATTTCTATCTTATTTATCCTGGGGAACCAACTGGATTGGACTGGATACTTCTACAGTTCATAGTTAAAATTTACGAACTCTTAATTGTGAGGCTTAAGGGACTGAGCTATTTTTATTTAATTTGAGATCAATTTTTTAATATTATTTAAACTCACAATCCTGGGACTGCAAGGCAAGCATATTAACCACCAAACTACCCTTGATCATTCTCCTGATGACGAATGAAGCAACTCATTCAAAACGTCAAGATATATCTCGACAAAAACAACACTTCTTTTCAGAACTATTTACATGGTATAATTTAGTATGGTACATCATTAATATCAATATAAGGAATGAAAAAAAAGTATGAAATTTATTAAATGTGTTAACAATTCCAATGAAAAAATTTGCCCGTCAGATAATATTCATGTGTAATCTTTTATAACATCAGAAAGGCAAAATCCACATTTGATATCTATATTCTGTTGCGTTTTCAAACCCAGTGAAAGGTATACCTCCCGGATATTCCATACGTGGCTAGCATATTATCGTATATGACACCTTTAATGAGAAGCTTTCGATATATGGGGTACATAACGAGTTCGGAAAGTTAATGATATGTACTGCTCAGAAGATTATGCCTCTGCATTTGCAAAAAAAAGAGGAAGTTTTTAAAAAGTCGGCTTTTAATTGACAGCGAGCTTCTTGAGATTTACTCGCACTCTGTTATCGTAGTCAAACTGGTCATCGTTGATATGTATGCAGTAGTTAATTTTAGAATTGTCTGATTAACGGTACAGAGTCAGTTCAGTAAGTTCTGTCGAAATTGATAAGTGCCATCATTTATTCCATTTTAGTCCATGTTTCTTAGTCCGTGTTTCTTCGCATGTAAGTTGGTCGAATTTCCACTATTTGGTTAACCATTGGGAATTCAATGCATAAGATGACCATAAAAGCAATCAACAATTAATTGAAAAATGAATGTCCAGTCAGTGATGCGGTACTGTAACTGTCTTGATGGAAGGCCATAATGGTACAATGCCCCAACTGTACTATTAATAGACGTTCAATCAGAACCATATATACTTGTTTTTTCATTATATTTTCTCTAAATCCAGCTGCATTTAAGGGTATTTACCATATTCGTATACCATTTCTCCATGAATATAGCTCCGATGAAAATTTACATTGATTAAAAATGCAAATTAAATTTGTTCACATAATATTCAATATTTTCCAATGTCAGTTCAAATATTTTGGAATGTTTAACATATTAAACACTATTGCCACTGAACTCTTCTATATTTAATAGACTGTGAATGGACATAATCGTTCTTCCAGCTTTTAAATGTTTATAGGTATAGTAAACTATTTCATTTGACAATTCTGATATTTTATCATCATATTGTGGCGATAGGGTTTCAGGCTTAACCAAAAAAAAATGTTAATATAGCTATGGTTAGAAATAATGGTACCCTGGTTGCCTCATGTAGGAGAAATTAGATAGTGTAAATCTAATAAACAAGATCTGAAATAAAAATATACAGAAAAATATTAAACTTATTTTGTTATACATACTTTCAGATAAAAGACCAAATAATAATAGATGGTCAGCAATTAAACCAATTGGCTAAGCCCCGCCCATTGGACATCGTTGCTATGGTCCCACAAAACAGTTGCGTAAACGCATGCCTTTGTGGTAATAAGCAGCTTTCGATTAGGACGACGCGGCCTTCTACGATGGGCAGTGGAGCGTGAAACCGTACTCCGCATGCGAATACATGGGGAAGTCGTTCGTTGTGTGGATTTGACAATGGGCTTTAAGCGATCTGGCGCTGTGTTGACTACGTCAACGTGAGTTTTAAAAATACACACTCGCTGGGGGCGCCTGCATAATTGATCACGCGATACGAGGGAGCTCGTCGTCCTGTAAATCGAAACAGCTTTGATTTTGAGACGGGAAGTGCATATTACGACATTTATGGTTGACTGAATTCCCCGTCGCAGCTCTCCGCATCGCCCATTTTGGAAGCTCGCTATTGTTTGTAGGGCGCGCGTATTCCTGGCTCTGTTCTGATTGGTCAGTTTTAAGTTCGAGTGACTTTCCAGAATGGTCCATTACAACACTTTAATAATGATCACGAAGTTCATAAATTCCTATATAACAATATTAATTACCAAGATAATATTTACTTTACTAATTTTGTTTTATTAATAGATCTGTGTTTATATAATAAACATCCATTTATTATTGGTGATCTGGTGATATTTTGATGAAAATATAATTTATTCAGTCATCAATTTTATTTTTTGTTATTTGTTACTGTAATTGGTACATATTCAATTGATTAATTTATTATTATTGATGATTAAATGATTAGTAATATATTGATTGCTTAATTATTGAGAGTTGTATTTCATTGATGATATATTTTATTGACTGATATATTTTACTGATTGATTTGCCTCTTTAAAGATCACCAAATTTTGTTAGCAATTTTAAAAATTATTGAAACATTTAATAACATTTTCAATGGGCCAATTGACACTATTATACATTATTGAACTGCTAGAAAATAATGCAAACCAATTTTCACTAAAACTCTTGTATGTGTGTATCAGTAACACGAACCTTTTCCATTGCAGTTGCCATGTCATTTATGGTTTATCATCTTATCAGAATTCTAATACTAAATTTGACCTTTCGATTTTTATTTTGTGTTACAGGCCCCGCAGATTACAAGTAACATGTCCACCATGGGGACATCACAAGTGCCTACTACTTACCCATATAGCCAGTTTGTAACAACCCCAATAATGAATACACAGGCCCAGCAAGGGTTTGCCGAAGTTCCTATACAGCATAGCCATCCACATGTGTTCCACACACCCTATCCCTTTGCCTTTACCCCCAAACCAAAGAATGACCGTCTTGAGGTAAGTATTTACCCCCTTCCTACTTATTAGTTTGGTGCAGGGTGTGTTTATTGTATTTATATTGAAGTGGTTCTAAGTGTTATATGTGGGAAATCATTTTCATAATTAAAAATAAATGTTTAATCAATTTCAAAGGTTTCTATGTTAAATATCTTAGTGCTGTTATTATTTTATCTTTATGATATTTAATGGATAACATGTTTCATCTATTGTGTCTTTGAATTTATTTTTTTATCTTTAGCTCTTAATTATATTTGTTTTAGAGAATGAAAGTTAGTTTGATTTTATGTATTTTGTTTTGTCATATTTTATGTTGTTGTGAATAATGTCATGGATCGACATGCTCATTTTTTATAATTTCTCATTGGTTTTTATTTGGTTTATTTTTATGATTTTTTTATTTTGTACTATTAAATACTATTATATGCTATTCTCTTTCAGTTTAAAAGTGTATGTGTTGCTATTACTGTACTCAACATTACTTTTTATATATTTTTTTAATTGATTTTTTTTTTCTGGAATGCGTTTTGTTTTTAGTTTAGCTTATTCGTGTATCCAGGAATTTATTTTAGTCGAATTTAAATGTTGTGCATGTTTGCCGGAGGTTAAACTTTGAGACAAGTTGAATGTTAAATGTTTGTAATATTATTATAAACCTTATTGTCATGGATACATACATGTACATATACTTTACACAGGTTAATGTTTTGATGTGTTTGTTATTTATTTTTTCTATCAAGTCAGTTCCCAGAGTAAGATGGTACTGTGGAAGTTCTATGTCCACAATGTTTTTTTATTATTTTAATATCATCATCACATTTTCATTTGAAAACAAATTATATAGGGACATGTCATAGTAAAATAATTCCAAAACATCCATGGTAACCAATCATGGAATCATCGCCATGGCAACCAGCACATGCTTCTTATCCCTGCAGTTTTGTTTTGTTGCCAGAGAGTGCATTCTGCTGTACCCAAACCTTTGCTGCAATATCACACCATGCCCTTTGCTTCATTCTGGCAATTATTTGAGCTTTCTTTTTTCGTCTCCTTCTTTTAAACTTCTGCATAATAACACTTTGTAACTATATAAAGTTAAATAGAATTGAAATTATTATTTGATTGAATTTGCAAAATTATAAACCAAATTATAATAATTGGAATAGGAAATACCTGTTAAATTACATTGATGATTTTGAAAATTTTAAGGCAACAACTCATTATGGGGGAAACGGTGAAATATTATACTGCCCACAACGTTAATTTTATGGAAGAAGGGGTAAATTGATGTTTAGAAATGATTAAATTTTGTTAGAAGTGTGATTTTTTTGCTCTGCTTGCTGTATTCTTTCCCTTTTTAAAGCATATAATACCATTGAAGGACACTCCATAAATTCATAGCCAAAAATACTTAGGTGGGTGGGGGCAGGGGAATACGAAGTCAGCATTTTCAGATTCAATTCAATTTTGGCAGAAGTTAATCTGATGGGAAACAATGTGGCGTTATTTAAATAAATTTTTAGTTGATAAAAAATTGTATTGGTCGTGATCGAAATTGCATGCCATTTGCAATATAGTATTTTAAATCTATTTTAAAAAGTGCATGGACATTACTAATCTTATCAATTGGTTGAAAATAATTTATAGAGTGTCCTTGTTGAGCTTATAGCTGTAAAACTCCCTACTCCCTTCCTGATTAGGTGTGTCGAGAGTTTCAGAGAGGAGTCTGCTCCCGGGGGGAGAACGAATGCAAATTTGCACACCCTGGGGAAGAGGTGACAATAGACTCGACCGACAACACGGCCACTGTCTGTATGGACTACATCAAGGGAAGATGCTCGAGAGACAAATGCAGGTATTACCATCCACCCCCTCATCTTCAACTGCGAATCAAATCAGCTCAGCAACACATCACGCAGGCAAACACCGCCCTCACTGCTGCCGCCACGATTGTAAGTCATATTAGCCTATACTTCTATTCATTTTTGCTTCTTCTTTGCACATTCCAAACATGCTATATATTAATAGGACGTGGGAGATGATAAGACACTCATTTTACAATCATTCATCGGATAATCCCACCATTTTTTCCAAATCAATTAACTAATATTCAAAACAGATGTTCTGTGAATTATGATTATTTATAAGGAATGTTTATGAATCATGGAAAATCTAGCTATATTTTCCTTTTATTCATGTTATGACAAACTTAATCCTGTGATTTATAGGGCAGGTATTAAAATTAGCCAATCACATGTGGGGAAAGCAAAATCTCTTGTACCTTAATCACCCTTCCCTGCTATTGCAAAGCAAATTTTGTTGTGCTTCAACACTTACATTTCCTTCCCATGATGCAAATGCTGTTGCAAAGGGAAACAGTGTCAAAACGCTTGGAAGAAGTGTACAAATTTTAGCATTATTATTATTGGAGCACATGCTTGCCCAGTGTATTGAATGGCTTTTACATTGAGACCAAAGCTTCTGCATAGAGTTCAAAGAAGAGTGCTATACATGTACATGCATGCTAAAGACCTTAAACTTAGCGAGTTTGGAAATTAAAAATACATCCTTGTGTACGGCATTTTTTTTCTGTCTGGTTTTAACAACCTGTTGCTTGTGGTGCTTATGTGGCGCCCTCATTCAGGTCATGATTTTTTATTTGCCTTGACATTTTTTTATTTTCATAATTTCTCTTGTGCATTCTTTGCTTTTCTAACAGGTTGCAATTAGTTGTGATGTATTCAAAACATAACACTTACATCAAGCAATGAGGGAACTCAATTCTATACGATGCACACTCAACAACCAAACAATTTTTTTAAATTATGTTACTCTAAACATTTTGTTGAAAGTACTCGAACTGTATCATTTTAAAAACATTAAGAAAATTGTTTGTTTATTACATATTTTCGTATACGTGTATTTTCACAGTATATTTTTATTATATCATTGTGTATAAATATATTATTGTATATATTTATGATTTGTATAAATGTACTGTTGATTTTTAGTTACAAGTACTTGATATTTATACGAGTATTGTCAACAAATGTTTCATTTAAGAAAAATATATATTGCGATTACCATCTTATTCCTTGGAAAGTTTAGTTACTACTTTTTCTCTTTCATCCAATTTTTTTTGTGTATTTTCAATGTGATAAAGTATATGTACATGTAACCTCAATGTAAAGATAAAAATACTAATTTTTTTTTTTATTGTGTGTAAATTTTTACATAAGGGGATAAAAATTCCTCAGTGCTCTAGTAAAAAAATATTGCATATCGATAAAAATCATTAGATTTATTTATTTTATATTTTACTTAAATTAATCTGTGTCAATCAACTTTTCTTGATTTAAACTTTTTGTTTACAATATGGAAATTTGCATAAATTTTATTTTGTGTTTGGGACAGAACTCTAGTATTGTTTGGTGCATACTGAATGTGTTGGTGTTTGCGTGCATGTGTATAAATTATTTTATACATATATGAACTAAATTTTATGCCCAAAACCAAAATACCAATCAAATTTCCTCATGCAATAATATTTCTATGTATGGTCTGAGCAAACTATTCAAATAATTTATAGAAAAACTATAAGTATTATGGTTTCCTTATTTCTTGTCCAAGCGAAACCTTTTTTAAGATTGGCAAACTAATGGAATGATAAATGCTATTTTTGTAAGGAGGAGGGAGGAAAGAAAAAGTATTTATTTATTCATTTATTTGTGCTTGGAATATGCTCACAGTAAAGCCATAATAGGAGCAGTTAATGTTTAGAGCTTAAATATAAAGAGAATGAAGCAAACAACCTGGAAACCATTATCTAGCCTTTACCCTTTCCACAGACCACTGGGATGGGGGTAACAGGCACCAGAAATAACCCTGAATTGACCTAAATCTAGAGAAAACAAGCAGTGCAAATTTAAACTACTACTTAATCCTTTCCAGTCTGCCCCATTACCATTGCCTGAGACTCTATCAAAGTTGAGAAATTACATCATCTACACTAAATGTCTAGTTTTTACTAGGTGCAGGCATTTTATTTGGCCTTAATACAGGAGGCCCTCTACAGAAATACTCCTACATCATTCTCAAACAATCCTATAGAGAGCAGCCTAGCTATAAAAAAATTATCATGAAATCTACACAGGATGTACGTACAACACCCCTCGCTTTAAAGTATGGTCAAAGAGGGCGTTTTCGCGACGCCATACAACTGGAAAGTGTTAAATTAAAACAGCAATTGGCAAATGGTCTCAAATACATGTTAGGTTGTTGACAGATTAGTGAGTGAAAAAAGTGAATGTAGGCTATGAGCTTCTGTATTTTGATTTCTATTATTCCAAAGAATAGTTTCAATTTATTTTCTTTTTTCAAAATTGGAAAAATTATTCTTATTAAATTATATATTATTTTAATTTTATTTCACAAAGGTATGACCTTTTAGTAAAATTAAACTGTGTTTTATAAGTTCACACAGTATAAATTTATTATATTATATATGTAATGTATACAATTCATATATATTTTATATGTTAAATTCAAATATATACATAAACATATATAAATACATAAACATATATGTTTATGTTACTTTATTTGACAATATAACTAGTTATTGTTATATAATATTTAGATTATGTTGTATTTATAAAAATGCTTAAAGAATATAGTATTATATTATATGGTTTAGTTTTATATTTTTGATTTTGATTTTTGTTTGTGTTTATAAAGTAGATGTATGTATAGTTTATCACATGTATTATTTTCTCAACAGCTACATGGGCCTAACTTGCCATATGCTACCATAAATACAGTACCTTTACCAAGAAATATATGTAAAAAAAGACATGGGAAAATCTAACCGTACGTCGAGAAATTTAACATGTCTAGTTATATTGTTATAAGGTTCATGGCGCTTTTATGGTCAAAATTTCAAGTGAAAATGATTGCACAATAAGACTGCGCTTGCAAACAAGTTCACAAAGTATATATCACTGTCATGCGTGTATAACCGTAGCTTTGATAAAGCATCAGTAAAATACATATTTAATCATAAATTAAAACCAATTTTATTTCTTTAGTGTCAACCTACTGGCATATCTCTATTTGTGCTTTATATTATAAATAACATTTTTGAAATTCTTTAGTAACTGCAGGGGGTTGAATATTTGAGACAAAAACGCTTCTATGCACCAATTTTTATTGCAGGATACAACTTTTTCACAATAGTTCCTCCTAACCTCTGCTTTGAGTTCTGTCTATATGCTACCATTCTCAAAATGAAGAAATGATGATGATATTTGAAACAAATATCTTGTAACATTTTTAAATTGCATTTTTTGTTAATATATATTTTGCCAGAAATATCCCAAAATTTCATATTTACTCTTTCATTTCCCCACATTTTTTTTTTGACACGTGAAAATGTTTTGTGCTTTCAATCAAGCGTATATATTTATATGTATTGAATTATACAAAAATCTAAAAAAATAAAAAATTATTGAATTTATGGTAGTGTATGTGCAAATAGTGGTGTTGTAGGAATAAATATCATTCATAAATATTGTCTCTGTATTGCATTTGCAATTCATGTTCCAGGGAACGAAAGATGGTGCCTGATGACAGGTCTAGCTTTTCTATCTACCGTCCTTCCACCACCTAGAAATTATTGAATGTCAAGCGCCAAATTAGCTTCAATTTCTAATGAAATAATATATTATTTGATTGGAAACAGTCTGGATGATCAGATTTTTTTTTAAATTAAATTTTTACCAAATAGCTTCGATGATATAGAATTTTCCCAATTGTCTGCTTATTCTTATCTTTTGTGTTTCGTTTTGAGGTAGATTAGAGAATGTTGGATCCTAGTGCATGAAGGGCGCCATCTAGAGTTTCAAAATGTATAGAGTCAGAGCATGGGGGCGCCGTTCGCTGCATGGCCATCTTGGGCCTATCAATCGCTTTTACTTGTTGCATGTAAGGATTCAAATTGAAACTGCTAAATCACGTTTGTCTACTTACTCGGCCTTAATTCTACGGGCTAATGAATATTCATCATATTTCTGTTTCTTTCGTCTGTGCACGATGCTATCTTTTTTTATTGGACATGTAAAAGCGAGTGAACTGTTTGTACATGCGCCCCCTATATTGTCATTTTGACAAACTCCGACTCTTCTCGATTCATAATTGCATGTAACACTGACATCACCCTTTTTTGCTCTTTTGTTTTTCCACCCACGATGCATTGCTGCTCTCGCTGTTTATGTTAATGACTCTGCCTGTACATGCTGCAATCCCATTGGCCAATACCCATCTGCTGTGCATATACTAATAAGCTTCCGACCACGGCCGAAACAAACAGGCTCAAACGGACAAGTGAAATCAGCGAAGATCTATTAATGGTACTGTCTTTGCTTGGCATTTTAATTAGGGTGTGAACATTCAGCTAGCTTTTTTAAGTAAAGCTCTTTTTTTTTTTTTTAAATTTATACCTGGTTGTGTATGTATTGCCGTCTCTTTTACTAGTCACCACCCCCCACTCCGTCTCTCAACATAAACCATTCTCGTACTCCTCTACCCACTGTTGTTGCATCCTACTTATTAAATTTTTTTTCTCGCTACCAGAATTTATTATCGTTATTATCATTGTGTGTTTTTTTTCTCAATAGTTATCCTGCTTTATATAACTTATAGCTAGTTAGCACAGCAGGCATTCACACTACTACCCAGGGGTGTATGTTGCATCATCTGCACATCATGCTTAACAAAGAGGGCGCCCTCCCTTCAGCCACCCTTCACATAAGGCCTTCTGATTAGGATGCTGGCTAAGGCTGAACATTTTTAGTAAACGCTAGGAGCTTCATCTATGGGCCCTAGCATATATGTTATAGATGCATATTTCCAGTCATTTATACTCATTTGTTAATCTGTCTTTATGTATCCTTCTTCCACCCTAACATATTTGTTATTTGGTGTTTAGCGCTGAATACGGAAATTAATAACAAAAAATTATAAATTTCATGTTCACCCCAACCTTCCCCAATACAACTTCAATTATGGTGACAAATACAGCTGAGAATTCTATTTAGGGAGTTAGGGATTAAGCTATGGAATTGTTTTCACTAATTTAAGTATAAAGTGCTTTTCAACTATTTAGCATTCTAATAATGGAATTTATTAATCATATTCTTCTTGTCTTGTCTGCTTGTCAAGTGTTCATGATTGCATGTGAAATGTCCTATTTCATATCATGCATGTAAGATGCGACCAAGTCCATCCGTAAAGCTCATTAACAATTTTTAAAATCACAGAAAATTAATCAATAAAGTACACACAGTTATCAAAAATATAAAAACTATATATATATATTTTTTTTTTTGCGCTTTAAGCAATGTTGTATAAACAGTTACTTTGGTGCAAATTTGTAAAATGCTTTTTCCTTTATTTAACAAGAACACTTTAGTTATTACTTAGTGCTCTTTCATCTTGGTTTTTCCCTCATCTGTTTCCCTTGCTTTTTCCCCCTCATCATTTTACACCAAACAGTGGGGTCTTATTACAAAAATTTCACATGCAATTATTGAATACATGATAAACAGAAAATGTTTTCAAAAATTCCAAATGTGATCCACAAGAAGAATATATATGTATATATATTTTCTTTATATATTTATGGAGAGAGAATCTATTCCAAGGTTCATCTACTCTGAAAATGACATTTGGAATTTCTGAACTTAATGTTTATTTTTTAATATTAACAAATTGTGTTTGCTAATGCATGACCACACTTCGCCCCTCTTATAGGCAATGCCGCCAATGAAGAAAGGACCAGGTATGACAACGCCAATGGTTCCAACAAATTTTATGTATCACCATCACCCTCAGCTGGCTGCTGCAGTAATGGGACCACAGCCGTTAGTTCAAACATGTAAGATTGCAAACTTACTGCATATGTCTCTGTCATCGCAATTTTAATTTCTTAATTTTTGTTTTTATATTCTCTTAGGTTTATGAACATTATTTTTTTAAGTGGTTGGATTTTGATTTTTTTTTTTTGTATAAATATTCATCAAAGTGGCTGTCACATTTTTCGGTGGCTCAATTTTAAGGTATCCTTCGGCGCCTGTAGCTCTGTGTCCTGCGAAAGGCTGTCATGCCAAGTAATGGTATACTCATTGGCACATAGGATGACTGTAAATAGCATGAACATGAATTATAAAACCCTTTCCACAGTTTTAGTTTCGGAAGTTATTTCGTTTATATAATATCTAAAAGTACTGTCCAATCATCATTTTAATATATAGTAAGTTCATAAAATGGTTAACAACAATTTGAGTTGGTTGAAGTAAATTATTTTCAGATTGGAATGTATCACTTATTTCTAAATTTATAGCAGACATCTGTGAAGTTATCTTATTTTCATTTCATTTATGTGTCCCAAAATAATTTTATTTGAATACCTAAACATTTAATAAAATAATAGAGTAGAGTAAATTTCAATTACAACCAAGACTGGGAAATAATTATTTCTATAAAGTAGGTGGCCAAGTCATGACCCATTGCCTTTGTCATCATCACCATTATCGTCATCCACATCATCATCATTATCATCATCATCAGCATCATCATAATGTCGTAAATCTTATTAATTATTTCACAAAACATTTCTAGAAACATATTTTATTGCTACAGACTGATCTATATTTATATATTGTGACATTGCATCATATTAATCTTTGTATTCATCATCATTATAATCATCATCATTCTCATTTTATCAGCATCATAATCATCATCATTATAATTGTTGTCATCAGCCATGAAACACTGGTGTGTTACATCATCATCATCGTCATTGTCGTCATCACCATTATCATCATCTTATAATCTTGAACACCATCCTCATTACATCATCATCGTTCTCATATCATAATCTTTATTATCATCCTCCTTACGCTTTTTAGGCTTTGATATCATTTCCTTTCCACAAAATATTAACAGAGAAGAAACATGAAAAACACTTTGGCGTGTAACATCGTCATCACCATCGTTATCATTATCACCATCATCATCACCACCATTATCATCATCTTCATAAATGATCCACATTGACATTACAGTATCACCATCCATCAGCATCTAAAGTTTAGTTTATCTTTGGGGAATTTCGTATGCTTACCAACCACAGTGAAATAAAAATTCAAGTACTGTAATCTCAGACCGGCTTCAAATAGATTAACAGTAGTTCAAATGCTTTTTGATTACTGCTTTTATGTAATTGCTCTTAAAAATGTCTGAAAATAAATTCAATAAATGTTTTATTTTTTACCCAATCACAATGGCTGTTGCAACACCTACTAAAAGCTTGCTAAAAAGCTTGCTTCTAATTGGCTAATATTATTTTTAATAAATGCACTATAGATGAAAATGTATAAAATAATTATTGTAATAATTTTCTAAACTCATCTCGTATTAAATACCCAAAAAAAAAGAAATAATACTATCTACAGTAATACACTCAAAATTCCAAAAACTAAAGATAAAAAGAGTAAAATTCAAAATGGTTGCTTGTCCTAAAAATATATTTAAATTATTACTACACTTGAGCTTAAATTAAAGGCAAGGGGAAAGAATTCCATGTATAATAAATTCCCATCAAAGATGATGATATTAGCGGTGTCAAATTTCCAGTAAACCACAGGGCTCACTTGCAGACATTTAAATAATTAATGCAAAGATATATTGTAGTCTATCAGTCATGTTACATGGTGATAAACTCACTTTCTATATTTGTACCAATCAATCTTAAAGTCAATCAATCATTCAATCCATCAATCTCACTCAAAATGACTTTAAGATTTTTCAACACTCTCTAGTTTTATGTGACAAATATCTGATTTAACTATATTTGGGAATGATGATGTCATATCACAGCTATATATATGGGCATAATGATGTCATATCACACCTATATTTGGGCATGATGATATACCGTACCAATTTCAATTTTTTTACAACATCGGGTACACTAACAGGCCAAACATATTCAATTTTTATTCAAAATTGTTATCGGCAGCAGTGGGTTCACAGACAAAGTTTTACAAAAAGTCTAGCCAAATGTAGGCCGCAAAATTGAGTCATCCATCTAAAAGAAACAATTCATTTAAAATAATTCAAATTTAACATGACTCTGATGAAGTCATAACTTTGGAGTCCTGTTTGATACAAAAAAAAATACATTAACTCGCTGAAGATCTTGGGAGTGTTGTAGGCCCCTGCGATGTCTGTTTTTCTTACACCATGCTAATCTTGCACGGATTTACATTCATTAACACAAATCCAATGTAGCAGGGGATAAGCACTAAATTTACCCTAGAAAGGCACAGTAACATATTTCTCATTTGAATCAGGTTTAAGTCTTGGAATTGGAAGCAACATTCACTCTTATTGCAGAACAGTATTCTTTAAGCATTCATTCAAAAACAGAGATCAATTTCATTTAGAAACATTAAACAAAAGTATAAACAATCTTGTTTGAAGATACAGTAGGAATATATATCATCATTAAAATTATTCCCTGGTGAATAATTTTGAAGCTCATATGCAATTCAGCACAAAGATGCTGCAAGTTATGTGTTATTCTCCTACCTTTATAATTTTGAAACAAAAAATATATAAAGTGAAATCTTGTTTGAAAATATTTAGGTTTAAATGTTTTATGCATATTATCATTAAAACTTTTTTTCTAGTGAATGTCATCATAATATGGGATCTAAATAGATATAGATGTATTTCATTATGCTTTCTAAGTTCTAAAATATACATATTTGTTTTTCTTCTTTTATGTGTCTTATGTTTATCACAATTGTAATACTATATATTCAAGACAGCTTACTACTTTTTGTTTTTCATTGATGATATTTTTGCTTATGCCACAACTATATGAATGTGTTGTATACAAAAATAATGGCTACCAAAGCAATAGTCTTAACACATTAGGAATGTTGTTAAAGTATTCAAAGAAACTTACAGCTACCTCTTGTGCTGAAACTGTCGCAAAGTAACGAAATACTTAACCGCCATCTTTTTTTTTCCCTCCATTTTCTCTTTGTTTTGTCTCTCCATGCTGTGATCACAAACGTGTATTACTTGGTTGCTTGCCTAACGCATCTGAATGGCTGCGTCTTGCTTCGGCCACTTTAGTGTCCATGGTACCGCATCAAGGCACATTACCGTACCTGACGCAACATCTAGTCCAAGCTCAACAGGTAGTAACATCAAATTCCGCTTACCTTCCCATTTTATGGCAAAGTTGCAAATGTAAAAACTTGTTTTTATAGAAAATTATTTAAACCAGTGCATTTTTAAATTTGGTCGTAATAGAATGTATAAATATGGTGTTTTTTACGTTTTAAGAAACAATGATTGGTGTTTAATCTTTCATTAAAATTCTTCCCACATCTTTCCCCTCTCTCCCCCCCCCCCCCAAAAAAAAAAGGAAAACTTTTTTTGACATTAGCCACTTTGCCATGAAATGGGATGATTGATTTGGTCTGTGGTAGAATTACTAAAATGCATGTTATCAATAGGCAGCCGGCTCATAAGTTGATCATTTAAAAAATGAATGAGGTGGGCCTAGAAAGCCTTGTTCCAAAGCTCACTTAATTTTTATTTTAAAATTTTAATAGTTATAATATTGTATGATTGTATTTTTTTTTATGATGTTTTTTGGTTATATTTTCAAAATCAGGGTATGCTTTGATGAATATTTTTAATAATGAAGCTTTGGCCAAACTATCAAATTTCATGTGACAAATTTGTGTGATGTGCCCATATATGGGCATGATGATGTCATATTACACCCAAATATGGACATGTCACATTTTCTTGTCACATAAAAATTGATAGTGTGGACAAACCTCAAAACCAAACACACCCAAGTACTCTGAACTTGGATTGCAAACTACCCATTATTCCACAAAATCTTTAATTACATTATTGAGTGCACATTAATAAAAAAAAAATTAGTAGGTTCATAATTTTATAGGCAATGTTATTTTCTTTAGTGTGTCGGTGTTTTATATTCAATTTCCAAAAACCCATTTTCTTCAAGGCTGTGTGTTGAATTTGTTATCAGTAGAAAAGTAGATTAGAAATTGTATTGAAAGTATAAATGCGTTCTACTGTTAGGAAACTATGAATTATGCTCAGTTGTTAGATACATGTGGGGAAAATTGGTGAAGGGAAATGTTTAATATGCTAATAAGTTACAAGCAAAGAATTCCTTATAATTGGACAGAATATTGAACCCTGATCAAATTATGGAATGAGAAATCGTTAGGGCCTGTATCTCTCTCACTCGCTCCTTTAGATTTTTGGAATATGCCTGATTATATGAAGGATTATTTTCATTTTTCCATAGTAGATCCATCATTTAAGTAGTGGAAAGAAACAGTTGTCTCTTTATATTCATCTGATTGTGTTGCGTAGAGTATAGTTGAATGTAGATGGCTGCAAACAAATTGGTTATTTTGAAGCTAAAAATAATGAAAATATAAATCTACCTACTTTTATATATTTTAGTTATTAGATTAAAATTCAATCTTTAAACGATAAAATATTTTTTCTTGCCAATTAACAGATTCAGAAATAATACCATTCCCATATTTTTTTTCATAGAGGCTCAAATTGGCTGGTAATAAATTTTATGTTTTTAATAGTCCTGTCAGTGTCAACTAAATGGTTTCGTTAATAACTTTTAAATTTTATCCCCTTATAGGCAATTCAATTTTTTATTGAATTTTTTACCTTTTTTATAGATTTAACCACATAAAATATCTTGAATTAAATTATTTTCATTTTAATATTGGTTATGGATCAAATTAGGTGAGGGGAAAATTATATTATTTTATCCAAATTATATAATTACTGGAAAGATATTTGGATAAGATATTCTCATCTTCTGCTCACCCAAACATGTATTAGACTAAAATACAGTATGTCTCTCAGTTGATAAAGGTTCTCCAAGCAGCATGATTTTTGCATTTCCTGATCTTTTAACCATCTTGTAATGGCAGATTTAAGGGGAGGCCCAGCAATTTAACCCCCCCCCCCATCCCTCACTAATTTTTCAAGATTATAAAAAAAATGGGTGGGGGGAACCCAGAAAATTTAATTAAAGGTCTGAGCGTGCCATTTCCAGCCATCTAGAAGTGCCATAGACATAATTTTTCTTATTATTCCTTCACAGATAGAGGTGACCCTCTGTTTTTGAAGGTCCCTTCCCTGGACTCCCTCTATTTCAAACTTCTGGATCCACAAGTTACTGCTCCCTAAATCCATCTTGCCATCAATTTTTTTGCCTTCCTACTGGTGTTTTTCCTTTTGTAGATTCCAATCCAGCAAACAAAAAATATATAGCAGGTTTTAAAATGGCATTTCTTGAGCAAGATGGAAAATCTAGACAGACTTACGTTTATTCACTTTCTTGAAATTTTTCTTTTAGAAATCAGAAATTAATGAAATATCGCAGTTGGTAAGTGGGTGTGGAGACAACATACTTTTTTTTTTTAATGCTGTATTTGAAGTCTGAACAGTGTGATTATTCTGGTGTTTTATTTCAATACATGTTTTACAAATTTTTGATTTTTAATTAATTTGAAAACAATTCAACTTAAAATTTTATGAACATTAAAAATGTTGTCTGATTCACTGACATGGTCAGCCAAAGGTTGAATGTTCATACCTTCATTCAAAACTGAAAAGAAAAACCCAGAATAATCATAATGATCGGACAAGGAAAAAAATAACATCATAAAGTACATTTTTCCAACTAATGGGTAATGGTATGGTATATTATGTTTGGGTGATTGGTATTCTGTCAGTAGAACATTTTGCAGGGTTTTTTTTTTTTTTTATTTTGAATTAAACCAAATCTGTGGAATGATTTGACAAATCAAATTTAGTACTGTATTAGTGTGTAATTCTCAGAAGAATGTTTGTTAGGTAAACAGATTTTTATTTTAAATTTTATAAATAAATGATTATTGTAAATGCTTGAATAAGCGCCACACCAAACCTAATTTTTTCGCTAAGCTCTGCTCTCGAAAAAGCGCCGCTGCGTTTAATTGAGAGTGTATTATTACCATGTTTGTAATGAAACACTTCAAGAAACAGGATTTTAAATACAATGAATACAGTGTTAAAATGAATAAAAAACACAAAATGAAGACACAAGCATCCTTATAAATGTTTATTTACGATGACGTAGTACCTATGATATGCCTACTGGACTACGGGAATATGTGAGGTAGGTAAGGCGGGACTTTTTTATTCCTTGATTTGTGTACTTTTCAGAGGAGGGTGGATAAAAATTTAAAATAACGTTTGGTTTTCTTATTTTTTAGCAAATCGTTTTGCCAAAATCATCCAGGTGGAGGAGAAAGTAAAAAAATAAAATTTTATTGGTGAATCTAAAATAGGATGGATAAATTCTTCAAATTTATATAATTAGGAAGAAATATACATATGTTATCTTTAGAGATTTCAAGGCAGCAGAGGGCGTAATAAAAATAAAGAAAAACTTTTTTTTTTCTGAAATTTAAATTTTTTCGTGGCGGCAGGTGCACTAATTGGCCAAAAATTAAATTTTATTTTTATTTGGAAAAATCAATATTTTGCAGTTGGTGGGTTCGCTAAACAAGGTGCAAAAGAAGGTCTTGTCCAACATGGGAACTGGCATGGAAAGTGCCTAACAATATTTTTTATACGCGCCGCTCTCGAATAAGCACCCTACTGAAGCCTCCAAAAATGTTATAAGTGCCGCAGCACTTATTCGAGCACTTACGGTGAAAAGAGTTGTGTATTTTTGACTGATTAATTTATTGATTGATTGAATAATTAAATGAATGGTTGATGTAATGGTGTATTGGTTGATGGATGATAACTAAAGTTAATGAGATGCAAATAAATATTAAGTCCACTACTGAGGGTTAAATTGAAAGAAAAGCTGCAATTAATTATACTGAAAACATCAATGTGATTAAAAATTAAATGTTAATAGTTTGGAACATATGTATCATATAACATATGGTCTGTATGTAAATGATAATCAAACCAATCCTAGTAGTGTAGTAGAAGTGCTAACATAAAAAGGAGAAATTAAGACTGTGATAGAATGAAATGATGTTAAGGAATTGGGATACTAATATTATCAACATGGATTATGGTTTAGTGGTTGTTAATAATTTTATCTTAGATAGTAAATTGACATTTTCTAAAGTGGTGTCCTGATTAGCTCATGTTATGTTTGTAATTTATTCTGGTCACAGTTGTTTCAATGCACTCTCCCACTCGTGCGGTTGATACTCATTGAATAATAATAGTACAGTAATGGTAATAGCAATGATATTGGTCTATTATTCTTTATATTTCTTTTTCATGATATTTGAATAGATAATAAGGATTATAATTCATTTTAAATATCAAGTGATAGATTCTTAAACATGTTGCATTACCAAAATATGTTCTTTTTTTAGTAGTAATACTGAATTTAATAATATAAGGCCTTTTAAAAATATGTTGATTGTTATTTTTCTTTTTAAATGTAAAATTTGGGGCACATAGCTGACTAATGATTTCTTTATGTAAAATAATATATTATTGCTCATGACTTAAATATTTGTGTTTGACCAGTCACTGAATGTTTCACTTCCCCTGGGTGGAGGTAATTTTTATAATATATTTTAAAACCTGAAGTTATTTGGGCACTGTATGCTTTGCTTGGTCAATCGTGACTTTCTAAGTTTCTCTTTTTCCAGTTTTACCAAACTTAAAATCTTGTTTAAGCCTTTTTTTCTTTAGGTAGATAGGGACTTATCATCAAGCATATTTTTGAAATAGCCTAAAATTTAGACATCAGAATACATTTCACAGAAGGTTGCCAGTATATTTGATAATTTCAACCCTTATTTATATTCTTTTAATTTTTCAGTCTGATACAATGCCAGTATGCCGTGACTTCAAGTCTGGCCACTGTAAGCGTCCAAATTGCAAATATGCTCACGTTTCCGAAGGTGAGTTTGAAATTAAATGACTTTGACATTTATTTGCTTCTATATTTTGTGTCAATGTGTGCCCTACTTAACTTGGAAATCATTGACAACTCTTGAGTGACGAGCTTAGAAAGCTTTCTTTGTGATTAACATTTGCTAATTATTGGAGTTGTTAAACCCTTTAGGAATTTAATCTTAACTCTCAATTCTTAACAACATATCCGTTGCAATTCCCAGAATAATAAGTTCACACCAAATATTCATAATTTTTCAATATTTATTGCATTAATATTTTACTATGAATTTACTACCAATTTCCAATTATACAATTCATATCTTTGGGAAAAATATTTTTCACATGTGAATAACATCCCTTAACTTTGAAATATCTAATTATTTTATTAATAAATCTGAGTTTGTTTTTGTTAAAACTTTGTTTTCTATCTTACTAATTTTAAGTAAAATACTTAATGTATAGTTCCAAAAAGAATCATATTTTCTTTTTAATTTTCAAAAATAATATTTTTAATTTCTATAAATAAACTGAATTTTGACCAAAGGGTATCATACAGATATGTTGTTGAAATTGAGTGAATGTAGCAGATGGGGTGATACTGCAAAATGTAACAGCATCATTTTCTGAAATTTTGTACATTACATGTACTTGTTTCTAATCATTGTCCTTAAAAAATAAATAAATGCCACTGGAATCTTAAGTTTAAACTTAAAAGTTAATTGACATTTTTTTTAATATAATGTTTAATTAAAACCCTATAATATTTAAGTTCCTTAAAAACAGCACCATAGGTGTTTTTGGTTTTTTTTCCTATAAAAACAAAACCACCCAATTTTCTGCTTACTCCTGTAAATTCTTTGTGTGCAAATTACTCGAATTTAAATATTTGACAATTTCCTATCTTAAAAAAGATGGTACCTACAAGTACATAGGCGCTTATTTAGACCTACACACACACACATATATGAGTAATAGCTATGAGTTTCATTGGCTAAAGTCAGAGGCCCCAGGCCTTAAGGGGCCTCGGGATATTTATCAGTATTTTTGCCCTATACATTGGTCGAGTGGGGCATTTTTAAAGAGCACTAACTTGTTAAAAAACTCCATCACAATAATTAAATAAAAAGGGGTTTTTACTCCCTCCAGGGTAGTAGGGCCTCGAAGAATCCTTAGCTAGGAGGGTCTGACCTTTTCGTTATGCCACTGCAATGAAAAGAAGATTAAACCTGTTATTATAATTTGCCAAATTAGTATATTTCTGTTGCCTATTAAATTTTTTATGAATTAATATTCCTGATTCAGGATAATAACTAATAGACTTAAATAATATATTATAACACTATTATTTCAGTTCGCTTTAATGTAATATCAAGGATAATGGTTTAGTGTCTGTATCTCACATGTTATGTTATTTGTGTTCTGTTTCCCGTAGACTATGTAGAGATTATAGACGGCAAGGTAACCATGTGTCGGTACGCCGCTCAGGGTCGTTGTGCACGTCTCAAGTGCAAATATTACCACCCCCCAAACGGCGTCCAATCAGCCATACCCACCGCCATCCCAACTCCCGTAGTAAACAACATGTGATATCTAAGTGAGGAACATGTGATAACAATGCCAGCAACATGTGAAGAACTTTTTGATCACCATCCGAACACCATGTGATCACAGCTTATTCCGCAACTTAAAACCATCAACTGAATCTTGAACGTCATTCCAAAGAATTTTTCGTTAATATGAGTATGGACGGGGAAAAAAATCTGCCTATTTGAGGAAATTAGAGACAAAAAAAAATAATTAGTATATATTTTTGGTGATTTGTTGATGGAATACCTAGACTGTGCAATGATCGTGCCACGTTTTAAAAACTAGACCAAAAATTTGTATATATTACATTGAATGGTAAGGAAGACAAAGGAAATAAACCATAAGTTGTACATTGCAAGTAAAGTAAGAAAAACACCGCCCTCATAAGGCTTGTTTGCAAGTTGGCATGTACTCAAAAAAAAAAAAAAAAAAATCGCATGGCTGGTAGCTGACTCACTTTTAATTGCCAGAATTTTCTTCCACTGTTATCCCACCGCCTTTTTCTCACGCCTTTTGGGTGTTCTGATTGCGCCTTGCCAAAACCACACGTACCACCTATAGATGTGTTTTTAAAAATAAACCCACCGAATTTTCTATCACTTATTACTGTATGAGCATACCTATTGACTCATTACTGATGCATGATGGAAATGTCTAATTTGCATAGACGTTTTCATAATTATTTTTTTCTATGTTTTGTCACCACATTTTGCTTTCTTTTTAGCATTTTTTTTTATGCGAGAATGTATGTGCTGCAAAGTATATTAAAAACAAACAGTGCTGCCGCAGAAGTAGTCAAAGCATGGCAAAAAGAACTATCATGTTTAAATTAACTTGCAAAGAAACTGTATTATCAAATTTTGCAGACGGCAATAAGCGTTGTGCTACTTATAAATTCCCAACGCCATGAAATGTGTGTGTATTTATACACCTTTCTTTAAGGAGGGTGTTTATCAATTATTTATCTATTAATATGTGTTATGAACACAATAAACTTAAAACTTGGTTTGCCATATTACAAATTTTCTTTCTATACTTTATTTTTTAATAAGTCCATTTTTTTAAATCATTGCTAATACTTAATATGATGATCATTGTGGAAAATTTTGAGAGTTTACTTTTTATTAGTAAATTGACCATTTCAAATATTAATTAGAGAAAAAAAATATTTTTCACTTTAAGGATGTTTTTGCTATCTGTGGCAGAATCATCTTGTTCATAAGAAAGAGTAAACTACATTAAATTAATTGCTATATGAATATGCCACATTTTTTCTGCAAATGATCATACAATTTGCAATAATAAATTCATAAGATTTATAGATATTTATTTATTTTGGATATAAATTGAGCTTATTTGAGCAATAGACAAAGACTGCGGCATCTCTGTTTAGTCAAATCGTAGCTTTTGTTAAATGTGTCTTTTCTATAACCCTTGGCTTTTCCGTGCCCATGCAGAGTATGTAGAGGTTGTCGATGGAAAAGTGACCATGTGCCGTGATGCTGGCAAAGGCAAATGCATCCGCCCCAGCTGCAAATACTATCATTCACCTACATCTGCAACAACCACAGCTACTGCATTTGAATAACGCCCCATCGCATCCAGACTCCTGGTGCTAATTGGCAGAGGGTCAGAATATAGCTGGCTTCATTCCTATTGGCTGAATTCTGTATGCTTCAAGTGCTGCTCGGTGACTTTATATTGCAATCTAAAGGCCTTGTGGTTGCTTGCTTTCTGCGCTGCACACCTTGCTGCAGACTTTTACACACAGTAGTCTGCAACTTTCAATCCAGTTTAGACCAGTTTGCTCTAGTTCTAACCAAACAGATGAGCTTGTAGTTACATGATATTGATCATGCAGATCATCTCACTTTTTCTTGTTTGTTGTCATGTTTCATCTTTTTTTGATAAACTTTTTCTAAATGACTGTAAACAATTTTAAAGTTTTATTGCTTGCCAAATCAGTAAATCATCAGTTCATTTTTTCAATCAATTCTAAAACTTGCCAATCATTATTGAATTTATCCTTGTGCCAAATATTTCTAAAATGATAAAGTATACTGGTGTTTAAAGTTGTTGACTACTGTTCTTTTTGATTGCCAAATTCTGATTTATTTTTTGTAATGAATATACTGATGTGTACCTAGTATGTATAAACATTTGTCAGTTTTTTTCCTAATAGTGTAGGCTATCTTATGATTAAGGAATAATCCACAACTTTTGTATACAAATCAATGGCTCTCCACAGTTCTTAATGGTAAGAACAGCCTTGAGAAATACCAAGAGATTGCTTCTCGTTAAACTCATTAAAATGATATATAGAAGTGAATATTGTAGTATAACTTGGTACAGTATATGCAATTTGTGCCAAATTCATGAGTTGTTAAATGCAGTTGGTTTTATTCTAAATAACTGCAGAATCTATTGCCAAATTTACTAAGTCAAAAAAATATAGCTGTTATCAATATTTAAAAAAGTATTAATAATGGTTGTGAAATTCGAATAAAATGATAAATTGTGTGGACTTGCAGTGTGAAATTTTAATATTAATTTGTAAATCTTTAATAAGATTCTTAAGATATTTTACATTGAGGGACCACATTAGGACAAAATATTGTTTATGTAAATTCTAATTTTTGTAGAAATTTGTTTTTGACAAAAAAAAAATTATCAAAAATATATTTTCATTTATTATTTTATAGACATCAGTTTTTTTAATTTTGACAGTTTGTGATTATGCAGATTTTTTATTTAAATATTCTATTTTAGGTTTACATAAAACTACTACAGGAACTGGTAGGCCTTTGGATATAAATTGGAACAACACTTCTAACACAGAAATAATAAATCAAGAAAACCCATGTCATACTTGATCATAACCTATTTATTCACCAAGCTTCATCAAACGCTTTGCTAATGGCCACCTCAATCTGCTCAGCATCTCAAATAAAATATGCAATGGCAAAATGGGGTCATAAAGCTCAAACTAACTCTCTTTCTTCCTAAAACAACTCATGCCAAGCTGTGAAATAATTAAATAATTTGTCTTAAATTATCTTAGTTACCTTACCGCAGCAAGAAACTCAATAGTACTATTCAGCTCAATTGTTTAACTGAAATTATTTTACTGAAATTTTTCCACAAAATATATATATTTTAGTCATAGGTTATGGTCAACATATTATTTCTTAATTACACAGTTAATGAATATGCATGAGTAATTAATGAATTCATTAACATTATTTAGTTATTTAGTCCAATTAATTGGTCACTTTGGATATCAATTAATGAATTTTGCCAAATCTTTTTAAGTAGTATTTTATTGTTTAAAACTTCTTATTCTTCTTGATGGTAATGATGTAGGTTAGAAGTTTCCAGTTTTAATATGTAAGAATTGTAGTTGTGTAGTCGCCAAGAAATGACCATTTCCAATGGTGATTCCATTCCAAAAAAAGAAGAGCTGAGCTGCATTTTTGTAGCTATGGGGATGAAGGTTTCCATGGGGACGAATAAATCCATGGAGTTGAAGATGCGTTATTTCAATGGAATATTCATGTATTGCATTCCATTGAAACTTGTGTTTTGAGATACAATTCAATGAATCATTTATGAAAGTAATAAAATGAAAAGAAAGTGGTGTACTTGATTCATTGTCTGAAGTTTGGAACTATTCCTGAGCAAACATGTATGTAGATACAGGACATCCTTGTGTCTGAATTTGATTGTTGCACGTTTTGTCCATGTGCATGCCTAAGATTTTGAATAATCTGCTAGAGTCCTGTATCTAGCACCTTTATTTTATGCATGCTCAGAATGGCAGTTTAATGCCTGGAATGTCATTACCATTGGAAATTGTCATTAATAGGTTAGTGTGAGTTTTTTGTGTAGACCAGTAATTGTTATTAGTTAGTGTGTATGCGATGAATTCCAGTAAGGGGTGTAGAAGTTCGTTCCGTATCTTTACAAAGATATGACTTTTAGCCGAGAATCAATTTTTATTATGTTTTACTACAGACATGTCATATTTGTCAAAAATTCCTGTTTTATCTTTTTGATAACATTATCATTTTTAAGATTTTCGATTCTCGGCTGAAATTCAACTATGTGGAACACATGCAACAATTGTATATAATTGTAAACAATTTTTTAAGTGTTTTGTTATCAGAAGGAAGACAACTAAACGTTAGCACTGTAGTGATTAGACGAGCTTGCTTGAATGAACAGTAAGACTTACAATCTTAAAAGGTGGTGTTTTTTTTTATTTGCAAGATGTCTTCACAGGAGCAAAGCGGCATTTTTAGATGAAGTCAACTGAATATAAATACTTAAATATGATTTATGTTTCAAGTATAGTAACCACTCTTTCATCTGTAATTGATATCTTATACTAGTGAAGACAGTATTTTACTTTTCAATGTAGATGATTTGAATCTACTCTTTTTATCCGTTTTCCTAAGTACAGTATATACAATAAATTTGTAACGATGGTAAGTGAGAACAGAATAGGCAGTGGAAATTAACATTTTACAATGAATTCTATGAATGATTCTTTGTTAGTACAGTATTACCTTAAGAGGTATATAATAAGAAATACAATATGTACATACCAACCAATTCATTTATCAAATAAATCTCACATGTTTTATGACTAAATATATTGTCTTGTAAAATCCATAGTTAAGATCAACTATTTTGAATTGTAGTGTAATTGTGGAACGGACAGTGCAAGACCATGGATTATAAATTATGTGCCTGTTTCATCATTTCTGAAATCTGTGATTTTGAACATTATTTTTGTGTAATCCATGTAGGCCTATTGATGTAAAGAAAAAAAAATTGTGCGCAAATTTTAAGCTGATTGCTCTTAAATACTGTATAAATCACTGTAGTGCCACTGTGAAAACAATCGAATTGCCATATTCATTCATGCTCATACGTTTGCCAAAATACTTACAGTATCTCCTCGAAAAAAAAACCACTCCTGACAATTAAGTTATAGTCAGTTTTGTTCATAATACATAGTATAAGCTAACTGTTCGGTAACTTTCTAACAAAACGAACGCTCAAAATTTGCCATTTTGGAAACATTTACACTAACGTTTTAAATATGCAAATTAGCAGGTTCCTGTACGCACGTGTGAGCTAAAATGAAGGCATGATGTTTGGGTTTCCTTTGTGATTTTTAGCTTGCTTTATTGTATGCTTCTACTCAGATTTACTATTTTAATGTTGTGAACTCCTTTCTAAGCACTCTCCTGTCTGTTTGGAGATATAGTACAGTAGTTAGCAGCAAACAATTCCCTAAGATGTTCGTGATTATTCATATGTGTAAACCAGAGAGCATGTTGGCGGGATTTTCCAATCGTGCATTTTAACTTTTTTTTATGAATTTATATATACATATATATACGTCATTATCTGGACAGATGTTTTTCTAAGATCGCTGGGATATATACTCTAGTTGAATGTATATCTTTGGTGGCTCGACTTTAAAATCCTGTACCAATATGTTCTCGTTATGAAAGATAGTATGAGCGGGAATTTATCGTTTGACTGTTGTCTGCATTTCGATGTATCTTCCAAGAAAAATATGTGCCAAGCTTACCTGTTGAATATGTTTTGTGTAAGTGTATGTATAATGCTTAAAAGTAAACGGCAGCAAATTGATATGCGATCTACCATTGACTTGAAAGGTAAAATTTGACTTTTAGACATTTAATTATAGCCAGATCACCTTGGAATGGTAAGCATGTGATCGGACTTGCAGCACGTAAGAAGGTTTTGCTTGCGCTCCTTTGAATGCTTTGGAATTTCGCTACTACCATGAAGTTATTTAAAATCTCACCAAGTGTTCTTAAAAAACAAATAACATTTATGCGTTTAATTGCTATACTTGCCGTAGAAATTTTGCAAGTGTCCAAATCCTATCAAATTCGTAAATAACATCGATAAGATACCGACAACGCAGTACAACTACGAGTGTACGCTAATCGGTTTACGCATACCCTGGGCCTAAACGCAAGCGCTAATTGATTTTCTTTAAGGCAATTTGGAACGCTTATTAATTGCTAATAAAGCTGTGTTTAGCACCATCTGATTGTTTAAAAAACTGTAAGAGAATCATCAGTAACCCCTACTAAAATGTGGTGACGGTTCTAGCTTACTGAAGGCCTTAAAGAGAGAGAAAAAAACACAAGGGCTGCAGCGCATACACGAGACATAAAATGTCTCGGCTGAAATGCTTAATAGTTAAAGATAGTTATCGCAGGAGCACTTTTTTCTTGTCTCAATGTTTGTCTGCTGTTTCTCATGTCATGTTCGTACAACTCTGAGTCTTATGAATAAATCAGAGTATAATATACTGAAGTAGAAAAGTCTTTTGTCATTTTTGCTTTATTCAATGCGTATCTGAATGCTTTGCTGTGCGTCTTTATCATAGCATGCACTTTGTTTCAATGCCGCCTCTCTTCATTATTATTATTATCATCATCATCATCATCGTTACTCAATTGATGTGTATGATACGACGTTCCATTGCAAAACGCATTAGCTTATAAGCTAACGTAAAATATTAGTCGCTCGAATATATTCGTAAAAAAAATTCGCAGTTTGTATTGGCAGTCGTCACGCTGTACGCTATGGATATACTATGACCTCATTTATATTATGTGCTAACAATTGTGTGTGGACGTACTGAACGTGTAGGTCTACGGCATTGTACCTAAAACTACACGTAATGTCACCGGGGCTCTTGTTGGTCGTCTGATGAAAGTGCATACTCGTTCCAGTGCACATAGGGTTTGTTTGATTCTCATATGTCCACGATCGCCGCCGGCGATTTTTTTTTCCGTACGAAACATTTGCATGAAACTTCACTCGGGCCATCTCGGATTGACTCGACTCGAGTTCGATACGAGTAACAAGAGCAGACACTTCGCAGTGTCGTGACGCTCGAGTTTTACTATTACTGTATTGCTCTTTATGTTTACCTACGGTAGGCCTATGAAATCTTACGGATTTATGGGATGTACTTGTGTAACTAACTGTGACTTTCTTGTACGTTATTACTAACGTATAATATCTACAACAACAACAGCTAGTACCCCCTTTTATAAAGTGTAGATAGGTACAGTAATACCAAAGGCTAGAGAGAAAGAGGATAAACTATAGGCCTATAACTACAGGCACCTAGGCCCCTCTCTAAAACTAGGGTCCTAGCTTGACACCAATAGTCACGCTTCACATGACGTTGATTGAAATTTTGAGGGAAAAAAAATTGAAGCATGAAATAAAAAATAGAGTGCATAAGAGAAATATTATTAAATAATAAATAAAATATACCATTTCGACGTTTAATGAACTTGGCCAAACTATCCTTGTAATGTAATTAATTTTAAATAATAATAATAATAATTAATAATAATAATCATCAGCATTAATTACCTTGGCCTAAGCCTTGTAATATCAAGAACCTACAGATAGGCCCTACTATTCTAGACCTATAAAGTACAGTATAACTAGCCCAAGGGGAATATCTTTTGTGTTCCGCTTAACGTCGTTTTTTTTAATTGTTCTCTAATTTCTCCATTGTCTAAGTTCCCCTTAAGGTAGGTTTAGTAAAGGTAAAGGTAAATAAAAAAATAATAATCATTTCAGCATTAATTAACTTGGTCTAGCCTTGTAATCAAGAAGAACCTGCAGATACTAGTTACTATGCCTAATATTAATAATAACTACGCTTAGGCCTCATTTATACATTCATTGGTGCTCTGCCATTTTGGCAGGTCTTATGGCATCCAGTATTTTAGAGCTGCCTATTCTCAGCTCTTCTCTTTTGCTTTTCCTTCCTCTTTGTGCTTTCCCCAGAAAGGGTATATTTTTAGTAGTTAGTAGGCCTAAGTAATTATGCAAAACCTAGACCTAACTCAAAAAATAAAAATTGTCACAGTATGTAACTCAAGTTCAAATAACACTTTTCATTACTCGTGCAGGTCAATCAATTATTAAACTGTATATGTCATTTTAAACGACCCATTAATATTAGCATGGTAACATCAGTGTATTTTATAAAATCAGAGCGACGTTCTCTCAGAAGTTGTTTGTAGGCGTTTATCTGTTGATGACCTTTTGACCTCCTGAATTCTGCAATATGAGATTTTCGGGTCGAGACGGTGGAGTTCCATGTAAATGTTTCGTACGGGGAAAAAAATCGCTCCCCGCCGAGAATTTAATATACGTATGTATTTATTATACATACGTATATTTTAGTTCAAAACTTGAAGCTAACATACAGTATCATAAATGACAAGTTCATTTCTCTTACAGCTTAAGCTGATTTACAGGATAGAAAACAATTACTGTACAAACAGCTTGAGACGACAGAAGATAAAAAAAATTCTAAATTATTACATATATTATACACTGATAAAGACCAGTAATTTTTCCCAACAAGCTCTTTGACCAGCGCCACCATTTAGATTTAATTCGACGTTCATCCGATACTAATTAATTTTGTGGTTTTTAATTATGCAACCAATGCTATCGAAGCAAAGGGTTTGATTACAGGTATATATTTAAATTAAAAAAAACAAACAAACAAACAAACAAACAAAAACACGGTTTCTCCCAGCTCAGGAATAAGGTGATGACCAAGGGCTCTGAGGATAGTTCGTTTTGACAGCTGAGTGGAGGATATTTTAATTATGTAGAAAATTCGATCATTTTGATCGGCCCGGAATGTTGGTTCTTACGTACAAACTCCAATCCAATTTTGCATGTCAAAATAATAAGATGGTTTGAAAAATTTGTTCTCGACACAGGAGTATGATACTGAAAAAGTTATAAGACATCATCATAGATTGAGATATCGCAATGAAGATTGTCGGGTATGTCGTTAATGAAGATACATTTTTTAAAAGGACCACCAAGTTGGAAACTTTATGTGGCGCTTCTGCGCTGATGTCATTTGGACTTACGTGACTATTAATCTGGTAGGAATGATGTTTTGCCCTATCTGAGATGCTGTCGTACTGAATACTTAGTGTGTTCTCAAATACTTCCAGAAGTGTATGATACAGAATTTTCCTGGCGCAAACACATCGCAATGAAAATAATCTGAATAAAACCAGACTTTTGACAGAGTTTATTGACAGACCCTGGAGAGATCCTTTGCAGACTTTGTCAAAAGCTACTGGGAAGATATAGCTTGGGTACGGGTATCGTTTGACACCGTCTTTGTGGGGAGTTGTTACAACAGATTTTTTTTTTCTAGCAAAAGTGAAAAAATGTTGACTCGGTCCAACACAGGTTGAACAGCTTGGAAGGAATTGAGGAAAACTCAGTAGCAATGCTTCAATCGTTGATATGTCATACGGACCCGTAGCCAGAGAATGGTCGGATCCAGGGCAAAACGGGGAGGCCTTCAAAAGAAAAAAAAAAAGATTTTAAAAAAGAAGTGAGAAAGAGTTGAGCACGGTCCAAAACAATTGCCAATTTTTCACTTAAATTTCATGTACCAGTATGGTTCAAGCATTTCTAACCAAATATCTCATACACGTATAACCAATAACCATAATTCTATTATACTATAGACCTGTTTAATTCCGCTATTTGAAATTCTACCATTTTGTCGGGATCATTGTAGTAATTTGTCATGATTACTGTATTGTGATTTTCTGCTGAGGTACTTGAAAATTGCGCTCCCTGTCATCTCAATATATTATGGCTCTCTGTTATGGATTTTATAACAGCGCCCCCTATCGCACCTTAATTCAGACTTGCCTAAATTTACTACGAAAGTCAAAATTCTTCATAATTGTACTATGTTCTTGATATGCCAAAGTCCAACACGTATATATTTATATTTCATTCCAGAATCCTTACATTTTGAACTTGACCTAGAAGCAAACATTTTCTAACATTTCTAAAACTGGCTGATCAATTTGATTCAGGTTTATTACACATTATGTCACCGATTCGCTGACATATCTAAGAGTTGAAGATTGCTTACCTGCTGAAGAAATGCGATAATCGGGAAGATTCCTCCGGGGTTGTATCAGTAATGGAGGCTAACGCTACGTGCCTTGAATTCGTGAAGTTCGGAACAAGTTTCTCATTGCACTAGTATGCTGTGGTTGTTCTAAGATGATTTAGTCGGGTTTTGTGAAGCAGAATTATTCAAGTGCAAAACAAGTTTAATATGGCTACGAAAATATATGAATAAAATACGACAAACGATTGGCCCAAATTAATGTACTACTTTGTCACCAAAATGTCCGTTTTAGACGAACAAGTCTCAGCATAGGAATTATTTAGAATTATTTAGGTCTTAATCGGATAGGCCTGCTCTTTATAAGGCAAATTAAAAGAAAACAATACGAGTTTTCTAATTTACGGTACATTGTTAACGTAATTTACCGACTTGAATCCTTCTACTTTGAAGTGCGCATGTGTAATTATGCACCGATGCTCCATATGCAGTTTATTTACTCTAACAAACCAATTTATAGGTACGTTTTTATAGTCATCTGCGATTTCGAAAACTTTTACTTCGTTCGATTGGAGACGACGGTTGTATTTTAGTTGACGTTTAAAATTGATCAAAGCAAAATCTATAATTTAAATGTAAGAGTACTATACTATTTAGGTATATAGGCCTAGTATCAGCTAGCGAGTAGAACACATCTTTTGAACAAATCTGTCGTTAGTGATAATATAGAATATAAATTGCCCATCTATATGCAGAGTCGACCTTACAGAGTACCACCTTTCACCTTTAATACACCTTTGTCTATTGAATGTCTTATTACTTAGCTTGTACTGTACGTGAAGTTAATCAACGTAAAATAATCCGAACATTTCACTGACACTGTTCAGTAGTTAAAATTGCTCCATTGGAGGCCGGTTGAGGGGAGATAAATGAACCTATGGAGTCGACCCTTTTTATAAATTGCAAATTGTTAGGTACAAAAGATGTAGTAGTCGACCTTTGCGAGGGCTGAAGTTCTATGCAGGCGTTTGTCTTATGCTTGTGATGGTGGCCTACATAGGACGGGTATTGAATCCATGAACACATTTTAAGATATAGCACCTCTAGATGCCCGGAAATGGAATCTAAAACTACAATTTATAGAGCGGTCTTCCGTGACAAAATTATCGGCTTCTCACCGGTAAGGTTTCTGTACCCCAAGGACTTTTCTTTAAAGAGAGCTCAAATAATATTTTTTAAATTCTTAATTCGGCTGGAAATGTTAGGGACATTTAATGTCCTATATTCTAAAGCGATAGTGTTGCACTAGTACCGTACATTCCCTATAAGGTCTGTCTCTTATACACATCTAGATGTGTATAAGAGACAGCATCTCAATATAGACAT